TAAGGAAACGAATCAAAAAAAGTGAACACAGTTCACTGTATCGACTGACTACACCCAAGCGCTAATTGCAGATAATTTTGATGATTTATAAAACCCATAATTGACTTTTTAAGTAACTAATTATATGGGTTTATTTTAGTGATTTCTAGTAAAAACATGCTGTAACCATTTTTATCGCTTACATGGGGGCAATGCTAACCAGAAAGTAATCCAAAATACAGGCAAGGCAAGGATAGACAAAGTAAATTTATTTATCACAAATCAGTACAAAGACAATTGAAAGCATTTTATGTGAAATAAAGCAGGGGTCTTCAACGTTTTCCAGGCCAAGGACCCCCAAAATGATGGTGAGATGGAGCAGGGACCCCCTAATTATACATATAATGTTTGAAACTGTGCTATATCAAACTGGTCCTATAGTCACTCTATTACAGATGGAGTAATGTAACAAAAGTAATTTCGCCCTGGGATTATTAAAGTTTTTCTGATTCTGATTCCTGGTTGATGGGATAGGTGTTGTGAATGAAACGGTGCCCAGATTGAAAGAGCTCCTGTGTGTCGCTAAATGTGTGCATTGATGTCTGAAAGACATCTTCTGCCTCCATTTATATGTTTACTACAGTCTGTTGAATTTGTGTTAATGTGTATTTAAAGACATTTCAATTAGTGGAATATAAAAAAAAAGTCTAATCAACCAAAACTTTTGCGACCCCCATTTAGTACCTCCGTGGACCCCCTAGGGGTTGCGGACCCCCTGTTGAAGACCTCCGAATTAAAGCATTAAAAAATAAGGAAAATAGAAGCAGCATAAAAGCAAGTAAAGATAAAAACACGAGTCAATGACACCCTTCTCACAGAAGGTATTTAGATAAAGTATTATTTGCGTACTTAAGTGGTTGTAGGTGCCATTTTCAAGCATGGGAAAATTTAGTGGAAGGAAAAACTAACTATGGAAAATGAGGCAAACAGTTAATTTTAAGTTATTTTTATGAGGGCGGGGGGGTTGGTTGGGGGTTGTACAGAGTTGCTGAGTTTATTTTCCATCAGGGATCGTTACTGGCCATAAGAAAGTCGGCTTTCTTTCACCAAAAAACATCTCCAGGATTAAAGGACTAATGTCTCAGCAGGACTGCGAAAATTAATGAATTAGTTAATCTTTAGTAGAATAAATTACTGAAGTTGTTTCTTCATAGGTCCGCCTAAAAAGTCGATCAAACAGCTGCAGCTAATGAATGCTGCTGCCTGCATCCTCACTAAAATTAAAAAAGTAGAGAACATCAGTCAAAAGTCATTCTTCTGGCTTTTTGTTAGGCTTCTGTTAGTCTATGAATCACTGAATGGCGTAGCTCCACAACACAGTAGCTTCAGACTTGCTGTTATCGATCAACCACCCAGAACTCTCAGGTCTACTTGATATAAACTGCTCTGCAGAACCAGAACCAGAAACAAACATGAAGAAGCAGCTTAACTTTCTTATGCTCCACTAATCTGAAATAAATGCCCAGAAAATTGCAAAAGCACTGAAACCCTCAGTTGCTTTAAATCTAGAATAAAAATGTATTTATATTCAGAGCGGCCTTTAACTGTTCTATCTAAACATTAATAGTTAAGTTTCCAGTTCAACTCGTCTTTTCCTACTTTATTAATAATTTCATCTTTTTAATCTAAACCTTTTATTTTAATTATTAATTTTATCTTCTTTAATCATGTTTCCTTTATGCCAAAGCAATATAATTATGTTTTTTTACCTTCATGTCCAGCACTTTGAATTATCTTGCCTCAGAAAAATGTCGTATAACCAACCTTATATTTCCTTACTGCCAAAATATAGTTGCATTTATTTTATTGAAACTCCAAGAGGGATTATAGAAATATAACAGATCTCTGATATAGGAGGGACTTTGACCATACAGAGCTCTGTATGTCAGTACCAAGATTTTACTATTTATACAGAACAGAACTGTGAGCCGTTGAAGGGCTTTTAGAATGGGAGTAATATGAGCTAGTTCAGGTAAATTGTAGGACGCTGTTAGATTAAACTGAGCTCCTTAAACAACTCAGCAGAACCGCAGGCTGATGGCCTCCATACTATCCTGCACTGATGGTGACAGAGGAGCCCTAACCAAGACAAAAAAAAAAAGATTGAACAGAAAGTACTACTTCTACTACAGATACATTTTAGTGTTAACAAAATATACAAACAAATGAAACTGGTTTCCTAGTAGATCCTAATTAATATTTGATCTAAAATAACCAACCCCCCTGACTTTTTTACACTGTACCTCAGCCATCCTGCAGAATTTGTAAGTCTAGTTTACGTTTAAAATGCTCAAAGAAAGTTGGATTTTAATGACTAAATGGATCATTTTCATGTTATTTTAGGGAATAACGGTTTAGGTCTTAAAGGAAAAGTACACCCAAAACATGATTAGCCTTCATTTTCTACTCACCCCCATGCTGAACAACACTCTGGAGTACTTTTTTGATATCTCAAATGCATCTGGAGATCTGGGAGGCTTCTTGCTGTCTGCTGACATTCAAATAATGGAGGTCTATGGCGCCCGAGGCAGAAAGGTCCATAAAAGTCCACAAAAAACGTGTCAATATTCCTCCATACTGCTCGTCCAATGTATTCCAAGTGTCCTGAGTGGGTAGCATCCAGAATTTACTCGAAACGAAGTCATTTAGAATGTTTTTAGAGCATAAACAGCAGTGTATAGGATTTCCTGAAAGCGCGCACATGTGCGATCACGACGCTACGGAAGCCGGCAGACCAAACCAGCGCATTCAGCTCGGCAAAGAACTCATGCTCTTCCTCAACACTGAAGTCCTCAGACATTTTTCTTTCGTTGTTTCTTTCTTTGCACAGGTAAACGGCACATTTCTTCTTCTACGCTTGCATTATTGGAAGAGCAGACGCTGAATGCGCACTTTCATCTGGTTTGGTCTGCCGGCTTCCGTAGCGTCGTGAACGCGCATGTGCGCGCTTTCAGGAAATCCTATACACTACTGTTTATGCTCTAAAAACATTCTAAATGACTTCGTTTCGAGTAAATTCTGGATGCTACCCACTCAGGACACTTGGAATACATTGGACGAGCAGTATGGAGGAATATTGACACGTTTTTTGTGGACTTTTATGGACCTTTCTGCCTCGGGCACCATAGACCTCCATTATTTGAATGTCAGCAGACAGCAAGAAGCCTCCCAGATCTCCAGATGCATTTGAGATATCAAAAAAGTACTCCAGAGTGTTGTTCAGCATGGGGGTGAGTAGAAAATGAAGGCTAATCATGTTTTGGGTGTACTATTCCTTTAAGGTTTATGGGAGTATTATTATATTAAATATAAAAAGTTTAGATGAAAAATGATGACATCACAGACTTCAGCATTTGAATCTGAAAACCAATTTGTTTTAAATTACAAATATGCAGATGTTTTGGATTAAGACTTTTTTCTTAAATCATCCCAGAAGGCATAAAAAAGGAGAGTTTCTGTTACATTTAACTCTACCCCTTTAAATTGGAGGTCAAAGACCTATCTTATTTGCCATAACTTCTCCATTAAACATGGCAGACAGATTCAGAACATGCTGATCTCACCATTACAAAATTGTTTCTGGTACAGCATATAGATTTTAGTGAATGCATCATCATAGAAACCACTGATTAAGTATTTAATTAGTCTTTGGGTCTTATATTTCTCTGCAGATTTTTTTTTCTTGTATTAATCCATCATGACTGCCACTGCAGGAACTGTAGAGATCTGTGTCCTCAGTCCTCACATATAGGAAGGACAAACCTGAAGAGCTGCTTTTATGTTGGATTAAAAAAATAAAGTTCAATGGTGCCTTTCAAATAAGTCTAAGTCTGACATAGTGGAGAGCAATACAGTAGTAGGTTCTATATTAATAATAAGAACAAAGGGAATATATGATATATCTTTTTTTTTTTTTTTGAAAGGCCATGGAAGAGAATATTTTCCGGAAATTTGTACAATTAAATAATACAATACAGTTAATAACTTAATAATTAAACTGTGTATGTTAAAATACATTGGACAATTTTTTTTATGTCACTAAATCTAAAAATAAGCACTTATTATAGGATACAAATTACACATTTAAATGAATTAGATCTGTTTTCTAAGAGCCCATTTTCTTATGGAAACAGATCATTTGCCTCGACTATAACTCAATTGTTTAAAGCCATGAGTAACTTTTCATAATTTTGTAAGAAAATTTCCTGCTAATTAAATCTGTTTTTACAGTGAAATGGCCAGGGCCGGGAAGTTGGAGATTTTGTAACAAACGAGAGCAGAGAGCAGGATCTGATCCGCTTTCATCACTATGAAAAACAACTATAATGAATCTATTGTTTGCGCTCAAATTATTGGTTTTCTGGGGGTTAACCCATTTAGTGTTAATAGAAAATGAAAAAAATAAACAGAAAATCTCTCAAAATCAGTTCTTTGGAGTAAAAAAGACAACTTTTTGTTAAATTATTGGATTGGGTGTCTCTAATGGATAATAAAAATATGCTGATATCGGTACAAGTCAGTCAAAAAGAACCACCTAAAAGGATCAGAATCAGCTGAACCTGATCTATATATTTAATAGAAAAACACAATAGAAAAACAAAACTGTCTTAATGATTTATGGTTGGTGTTATGTTTTGCTTTCCATAGAGACTGTGTTTGTAATGTATTGTTTCCATAACTGTCTTGTTTATTGTTTTTAACCTCACAAATGAAGCAGATTTGTGTTTTAAAAATGTTCTGAATGATCCTTAACCTTCACACTCCATTTGAGTACATGATCCTGGCAACTATTATCGCCAACTGTATCGTCTTGGCATTGGAGCAACATCTACCTGCAAGTGACAAAACGCCAATGTCGGAACGCCTGGTGAGTGAATGGGGTTCAAACCCAACTCTTTTTTTTTTCTTTTTTGCATTATTTGGCATTTTTATTTGATCTCACCAGAAAAGCTTGATGATGCATCTAAAAGGATTACACACTGGTTCCAAACAGGGTACAGAGGTTGACTTGTATGTTTTATAAAAGTGGTCTCTAAGCTCCCTTAAAAACCCACAAAGGCTCCGTAAATGCAACCTGCAAGCTACAGATGACATCATGAAGTAATATGAACAACAGCAGCCTGTAGGCCTGTAACCTGTAAGTTTAGGTTATATTTTAAAAGATGTTGGTTTAAGGATAGTGTCCATTTGAGTTAAAATATGGGAAATAAAGTCTAGGTGAATAATAAAAAGCTGCATCTTAAAGGTAAGCTTTGAAAACTCGCTGTCTATGACAGTATTCTGTGTTTTCTATGAATATAATCCATGCATTTATTTAAAGGTAGCTTTTCTGAAAATTCTTTGTAAGAAATCTTCATGTATTTTAAAAATGGCCTGTAAGTTCCAGAAATTAATCAGCAGTTTATTTAGTAGTAAGTGTTTGGAGATGATCTGGAAATTAAACTGTCAGTTACATGGAATTCACATGTTGGTTTTCTGATAATAACCTTGCAGTTCATGGTTGGTTCTAGATGTGAATTTGTACGTTTCCACTGAGGTAGCTGGTCATTTCCAAAAAGTAGCCTTAAACTTCTGTGGGGCTGTGGGGCCCTCTGAAATGAGAAGACAACACAAAACAACAGGGGAATCATACAGATACAAATGTTTTAACAGAATACACATATTATTGGTTTTTATCTTTTGTCCCTCTATTCCTTTTTCTTTCCCACATCTGCCTTTTACCCTTTTTCTTCTTTTCTTCATCTCTATGTCCCTTTTTTTAAATTAGGTTCATACTTTCTCCTGCTTTGTCTTTTTTCTTTTTCTCTTCTTTTCTCTCTTATATTTGTTTGTTTTCCTATATTTACTGCCTGCTTCCTGGATCCTTTCTGCACATGTGCAGTAAAATGGACTGCTCCAATATACGGGAGACTGCGGGTTGGGGGTCATGAAATACGCATATTACAACATGCATTTTCATGGTAATGTAATGAAAGGGTTTTAGTCTAAAACGTCATCAATATGAGCTAATAAGTAATCACTGTATAATCTACATGTGTATGAGTTTCAAGGGGCCTTTAGAAGCTTGGGGCCACCTAGATTTGCCTGAAGATAACTCCACCCCTTTATGTTAGTTTCAGAGCAGATCATTAAAAAAGGCAGTCTTTTATGTTTTAGGGGAGGGACCTAATTGTTCTGTGAAATAAATCTTAGAGATTAGTAGAGCATTCAAAACGTAACCTTTTGTGTTTTATGTTTCTCCCCCTTTGGACTTCTTTTTGATTTATTTTTTGAGTTTCCTGTTATTTGTGTCATTCTGTTTTGTTGGTAATTGGTTCTTTTCCATTTTGTGTTATATTTAAGCTGGGTTGTATTTCTCGAGTTACTCTCTGTTGCCCCCTTGTGACTGTTTCCTTTCCCCTTGGCTCCCTTCTAGTTACTTCTATCCACACCTGCTCCATATCACCTCATTAGCACATTCTTTGTTCTGTCCCCCATATATACACCACCTCTCCAGTTCAACTTTACTGGTTTCTTGCTGTTACTTGTTGTCCCCTGACATCTCCTGGTTTTTGGTTTCCTGTATTTTTGTTCTTAGATGTTGTTTCTGTTGCCTTTTTGATTTAATCAAACCTTTAAGGAACTCACCTCTGCCTCCCTCATCTCTGTCAACCTTCACCCCCACATTGACAAAAGGTTCAGTGAAGCAGTTTGTTAGTTTAACATAAAGTCCTTACACTTATTCATCTGTAAGGTCTGTAATAGTAAACTGATTTTAAGGCAGGTTATATGGAAGATAAACTGTAAGTAGGATAAAGGTTCTGAGTGACTCCCCCTCCATACAAAATGGACATGCTGCTCTGGCAGGCTGTTTACACCTACAGGTTTTTTCTTTTTCTTACATTTCTGTGGTGCACTCAAGTTTGATTACAGAAACAAATTTTTTTTACACAGCTTGATTTATTTCGCTTCATCCTGTTTCACTTTTCAGATCCCCCTTTGGTAGTTTTAAGCCCCTGCTTTCGCTTTTCTTTCCTCTCTTTACATCATCTTAAGAAAATGTAAACGTAGCTGGCAAAACAAAAAAAAAATCAGTTTTGTCTATCCGACTTCATGGTTCAGTACTTTGCACCCTCTCGTCGTTGAAGATTGTTGCAGCTTCAGGAGGTTTGCGACACTTCATGACTTCACACTGTGCAAAAAAGAGCAACAGTCATAAAAAAAAAAAACTGTTTTGATTTATCCTGATGGCTTGAAGGGGATTATTGCTACAAAAGGTGGTATTCAGCAAATGGAAAAAGTGATTAGTGAGGTTCCACAAAGAAGAAAAACAAGTGTCCTCTCTTTGCCTCCTCCACCTCGAGGATGTAACACGACAAGATGGCTTTTAATTAGAGCTAGGGATCAGCTATTATACGCTGAAGCTCCGTCAACAGACCAGGAGGCGTGCTGTGAGTGGAGGTGGTGAGTGAAGCTGCTTGCTAAGTGTGCTTCTGGTCTATAGTGCCTTGGTCCTTGGAGATTTCCTCAGCTGTTCGCAGAATCTCCATCTATTCATTTATATTTGCTGGATGTTTTCACAACTAGTGAGGCTTCTATTTATGTAGCTTCTCAGCTCTTTTGAGATAAGACCTTTATTTTCGTCGTTAAAAATAATCAAGTTTAATGTTTAAGGTTGCATCATTCATCTGTCATTCATAGAACATAAAATTGGAATATTTGTAGCATTTGCAGCATGCCCTTTGACTAGATTAATTGATTTATAGATAACTGAAATGGACTGGTTAGTCCAGTAGCAGATCTGTCTGTCTTGCACTTTTGAGAATCAGGTTGAGGAGGAACACCCTGCTCATTTTTGGGGAGAGGAAATCGCAAGATGTTTCCAGGCCATAAAAACATGTAAATCCTCCCCAGAAAGTTCTGGACCTCTCATCGTGGGAACTAACACACTTAGTTGATGAACTTGGCTGACTCCCTTCAGCAGTTCTACTCCCACCTAAAACTATTGGTTATGGTTAGCCAAGCTACCTTATGAAGGAAGCTTATCTCAGCTGTTGAATTCATAATCTCATTCTTTTAGTTTTATTTTCTTGACCATGGTTAACGGTCTGATTGTAAATCAGCTGATACATTCAGACCTTTCTTTTGGCTCAGCTCTTTCTGGAGGACTGGCCCAGACATCTGGATCAGATGACAACTCAGAGTTCTCCACTATTTAAACAGGGTGAATCTTTACAGAAAAGTTCATAGTTCCTACAGATTAGGAGTTTGACTTTGCCCCAAATAAAGGAGTTCAGGTGTCTTGTTTTAATGTTCTCAGCTAGAGGTGGGATAAAGCATGTGTTGGCCGGTTGGATCTGTACCATATCTGTAGAAGAAATGTCAGTAAGCCAGGTAGTTTTGTTAATGGATCTTGTTTCAAGTCTAAAACTAAGAATTTTAATTAAGGTTGATGACTGAAATAACATGATCCGTCTTTTTCTGTAGGATGGCTGCATACAGCCCTGAGGAGCTCTGTCATCTGGGGGAAACTGGCAGTAGAACTGCTGATACTCTGAAATGAAACAGTTTATCTAAGGTAGTTTGTGGATCCTATCAAGATGGCAACTAGGTGCTTCCATTAACCTCTTACACCCTAAGGGGGTATAAATAAATTTCTGCCTGACAAAAACACACAAAAGTAAATCATTTATAGCCTCACAGCTATTAAAATTAAGAAGAAACTTTTGGTACGTCTGTAAAGGTAAGATGTCATGAATGGTTTTCTGTTGTCAGCACCATTGTAGCTTTGACCCTGCCTGAAATATTAGGGACAAAATACAAAATATTTTGCATTTTTTGAACCTCGCCAAAATTTTCTTTGAAATAAACATTGCAAAACACTACCAAAATATTATTTATAGCACAAAAAAGTAGTACAGACTTTTAAATCTAAATGTTGTGTAAAAATATACCAAATTTGGACTCAATCAGATGAATCATATTTATTTTAGAATGGTATTAGTGAGAAATTTCTTAGGCGGAGGGGCCATTTTGGCACATTTATCCATAAATGTCACCAAACTGTGCCAAATGTGTTTTTTACATCAATACTGGGGGTTTGTTAAAATTACGAGGTCAGGTAGCAGCTGGACCCACCGGTGGGTCCGTAGGGTTCTAGGGGTTAAGAGGTTTTTGTGGCATGTCCCACCGCCATGACCCTGAAGTCAACGAATGCTGGTTTGGAGGCGACAAAAAACAGGCTGGAGGAGGATATTAGAGAGAGGGAGGTTATCTGTTATTCTTCTGGTTGGCTAAAAAAAAAAACAATAGATGGATGCATGGATGAATTAATGGATGGATAAAGGAATGGATGGATAAACAGAAAAATGGAGGGATGCATGGATAAACAGATGCATGGATAAATGGATCGATGGATGGATGGATAAATGGATGGATGGGTGGATGGGTGGGTAGGTTATAATTTGTATGTATGCATGGATAAACAGATGGATAATTGGATGGGTGGATGGATGGTTAAAGGAACATTGCCTTGAATTTACAGTAAAGTGAAACATCTGCATCATTTGGAAAAAGAAAATGGTTAAAATGAGGATAAACCTTTCATTAGAAGTTTGCCTAAGAGGAAGCTAACTGGTTGACGTCATCAAGGATTTGATCAAAATTAAAACCTAAACAGAAAACTGCAACCAGTGCTTCTGAAATGTTGTTGAATGCTGCTTGTTTTCAGCCTGGGCTATGAAAAGGTCACATTTCTTGTTGCATTCAGCTTGTCATGCTGCTCTTTTGTGCTTATCTATGTTGTTGGATGGATGTAATAGGGGTTGGGGGGGTTGACTGTCAGGTTGTAGTATGCTGGGAGCAACAGCGGGGGAGGGAGGTTACGGTCAGCAGGAGATTTGCTCTGCTCTAGGCTCTTGGAAATATTAATGGAGGCAAAGTGTCACAGTGATGCAGCTTTTTTACCGGCAGCGAGGCTCAGAGGGAGTTTGGCAGCACAGTGGGAATTATCAGGGAGCTGTGACACTATCAGGAAACACAGGAGTGATCAAATAAATCATCATCCATCAAAAAAATCCATGTGTGAGGATAAAGTATCTCCTCATAAACAGGTGGTTTGCTGCTTTTTAGATTCAACTGTGTCTTTTTCGTTTACAGATTCTTTTCTTCCCTATTTGTTTTCTCCCATTGTCTGAACCTGAAAGTTTCTAAGTTCAATAAGCAAAAAGCCCAAAAAGATCCTTGTGACATGAGGAAAAGATGATTGGGCTGAACCCAGTTGCCTGACCTGTTTGCCTTCAAAGTCTTTTGTTTTGCCTCGGTTAATGTGCCCTTTTCCATCGCCTCAGCAGAGGTTGCCCTTTATCTATCCCGGTTGTTTGCAAATGCAGTTTTTCCTGCTTTCAGCTGAAGTTAGATAGTTGATGGCACTGACTTGTGCTGATTCTGTGTTACATTGGACCATTGTTTGTTTTTACTGTTTTCACTTCATTTAAGCTCCTGCATTACAACCCAAAGAGAGGAGCTACATACAGTGACTCATCAAAGTGTAAACACCCCTTAAGATATCTTAGTTTGTTAGATTACACCCTCAAAATATTATTTTATTACAATTTAATGTGATAGACCAACACTAAATGAAACATAACTAGAAAATAAAGGAATATTTTTATGTCTGTTAACATCAGTTTTTAGGTATTTTTACAGATCAACTGAATTTAGATCTGGACTTTGACTAGGCCATTATATCACATGAATATGTTTTTTTTCTTTTATCCAGCGGTCTGTGATTCTTAAAATCCAAATACAGTTTCAGAGTAGATTTTTGAGGAAAAAAATGGTTTATGTATTGATGGTGTCTACATAAGTCTATATTTTTCCGCATCCATTCAAAACACCATCTTCTTAAATCCTAAAGACTGGTTTCAGGTATATATGAGCTTAATTCATGTTTCCAGAAACTGCTACTGGGGGCTGATAAAAAAAAAGCCCCATATACCATAGCATGATGATGCCACCGCCATGTTTTAAAGTGGTTGATTTGTATGGCGTCTGCTGAGGAATGGTCCATCATGTTTTCCATCTCCCCTACATGACCTTTGTCAAAAACAAAAACAAAAAATATCAGTTCTGATGTTGTCCTGTTGTTCCTGAGGTGTTAGTCTTTGTAGTTCAGCTAAACTATCATGTCTTGGTAGATTTGAAGTCAGGTAAGCAACTGCAACCTTTCAACACCTGCCTGAGCTCTTTTCCATTATTGAATAATGATTGGGAGATTGCTTTCATTACGTCACTCTGGTTTAAATGTTTCCAGATCCTCATTCCTGATTTCTCTGATGTGCTCATCCCTTTTTGTTTCACATTTGTGGCCTAAGAACAGCTGGATTTATACTAATGTTTAACTGAAAACATCCACTAGGGGATTTCTAAAAGAAGTTTATTTAAAGGAATAGTACACCCAAAACATGATTAGCCTTCATTTTCTACTCACCCCCATGCTGAA